GTAGCTTTTCCTCCAAGCTAAGTTTAGGCCTTCCCAAGACTTCAAGATTTGCTTCCAAGATTCAACCTTTCACCTCTTTGGGCATCTAGAAGGGTAAGATCTAAGTCCATCTTGTGTTTTTGGTTCCATCTTAGATATCTTTTTCTTAAAAGTAGGGTCTTTATGATATTTTGGTTTGTTCTTGAAGTGGGTTTGGAAAGTAAGCCTTGTGGGGAGCTTGTTGAAGTGTAAAGTGAAGTCTTTTAGTCTACAAGAGGTAACCCATGCTCTACAAAATCTATTTTCCTTACCTATATGTGATTTCTTGGATTCTACTTGTGTTTTGCTATGAAATGTGAGTGTTTATGCATTTGTCTTGTGAAAATGCATATCTAGAGTTTGTGTTTAGGGTTCTTTGGTGCCATTGCTTGGCATTTCCTTTGATTCAAGTTATTTTGTTGTATTGGATGAGATTTGGCATGTTTTGGACTTGAATTTGAGCTTGGAGTTGATAATCCCCGAAAGGATTATTTTGGACACTGGGATGTACCCGCGGGCGGAACGACGGGCAGAGCCCTACCCGCTGCCCACCCGCAGGTACATTGGCCTCGTGGGTGTGTACCCGCGGGCAGAACCACGGGTAGGGGCTTACCCGTGGGTCCACCCGCGGGGAACACAGTGTTGTTGTGATGGGATTTGTTCCCCGTGATTCTTTTGACTCGTTATTTGGTCTTTTGACTTCCCGTTATTCTTCTGTGGAACTATTTGAGTGTCTTCTTCATGTTTCGTATGTCTAGAACTATATGGTAGGTATCTGTGTAGGACTTTGGTGTCTTGAATCGTGCTAAGTGTTCAACATTGTGTTTCGTTGGACCGTGAAGAGTCTTGTGTGTTCCTCGGAACTATTTTTGGTTTCCCCGTTGATAAGCATGCTAGTTCGGTGTCTAAATGCTAGCGTGTGCGTTGTTTGTACCTTGCGATTGGTTGATGATAACTTGTGTTATTCATCGTTGTTGCTGTTGGGTTGTGACTCATTCCTTGATTGAGTGTGTTTCATACCTTCGTTGCAATCCGTTGATTGATTCATGTTGAGGTGTGGTGTGTGTGGCTTTACCTGGATTGCACGATTAGTGGTATGGGACACTAGTCACCAAGGTATTGCAGCGGTCCTCGTGGTGGCCGTGGCGTGATTATGGAGCTGTGGCCTTTGTGTAAGGTTCACGTGTTTATGGGGGATAACATGTGTTATCCGGGCAATATGTTGCCATGTGTGTACGGTACCTTGTGTACTATGAAATTGGTGGTTTTGTTGGTGGGGGACGACGGTCCCAGGAGGAAAAAGGTTGGACTAAGAAGTACAGGGGTCCTGGAGGTAATGGTTGGAATGAGGATACAAGGATGGGGGTAGCCATAAGGTTGGAACAGGGCATAAGGCAGGCATACCAACTCGTGATGGGTGATGTCACGAGGGCTTTTGTAGCCGCTGTTGTGTGTTCTTCTCTTGTGACGTGTGTAGTCACAAAGGAATGTGTGGCCTTGACATGTGTTGCCGGTTGTGTGAGTCTTATTCTTTCGCGTTGTACTTGTCGGGTTTTGATCTATTGAGTGATGATAGATCACGCCTTGACTCTTTTGTGAGTCGTGTTGTTCTTGTGATCTTGGGATGTGTTCCCGTGTTTCTTGTGAGAGTGTTGAGTCTTAGGTTGGCTTTGACTCTTGGTTTTGAACTTATATATATGTATGCCATTTCAAAAATGGTTTTACAGCTTATACCTTACTTATGTATGTTATTTCACATGTATTGGTGGGTTACCAGCACTATTCGTTGACCGGGCGTCGTCCCATGTTTATCTTTGTGTTCTTACAGGTGATGTCTAGTCGAGCGCGATGTCTAGTGCCCGATAGTGTAGTACCTTTCCCTTGTTGTACGGCCTGTGGGCCGATTTGGTTTTTAGACTTATGAGTTTTTGGATAGATGTAAACCATGCAGATTTGGCCGTAGCGGTTATCGTGTTGATAAGCGTGGCATAACACCCTCGTTTGGATTTTATGTTATCCAGTTATCCTTTTTCTTCTGCTGTGCTAGTGTTTTGTTATGTTATCTGCATGCGTTAAGGCTTTTATTATAGCTTGTTTGGAGGGGGGGTGTTACAGTGATGCCCAGTTTCCTAACTCGGTTTGCAAACTTCGTAAGTCGTTGTACGGTCTAAAACAGGCACCGCGCGCGTGGTATATGGAGTTGTCGAATTTTTTGGTTTCGACAGGCATTGCACGCTCTAGAGCTGATACTTCATTATTTGTGTACATGTCTAATGGTGTGATTGCATATTTCATGCTTTATGTCGATGACATTATTTTCACCGGAAATAATGCAGGTTTTCTGGATGATTTTATAATGATGTTGGCTAACCGATTTTCTATTAAAGATCTTGGTCTACTTCACTATTTCTTAGGTGTTGAAGTGATTCCTACGACTCTTGGTATGTTTCTATCACAAGGGCATTTTTTGGCTGACATTCTCTCTAAATTCAAAATGGACGGTGCAAAATCTGTGTCTACTCCTATGGCGGCTGACTATGTATCCTGTGACGAGTCTAGCTCGGTGGTTGATGTCACTGATTACCGTCGCTTAATTGGACTCTTGCAGTATCTCCTCATCTCCCGACCAGACGTAGCTTATGCTGTGAATAAACTAGCACAGTCCATGCATGCACCAACTTCAGAACACTGGCAAAGTGCGAAGCGTGTTCTCAGATATTTGAAAGGTACCATTCATCATGGTTTATTGTTGAAATTTGATTCTCCCTTGCGCTTGGTGGCCTTCTCTGATTCTAACTGGGGTAACTTACAAGACAAAGGACGGTCTACGACCGCGTATGTTGTCTATCTTGGGGATAATGTTATCTCTTGGAAGTGTTCACTTCAGAAAACGGTGTCTAGGTCTTCCACGGAAGCAGAATACCGGGCATTGGCGCATGCTGCCGCTGAACTAGTTTGGATTCAAAATCTTTTGCGTGAAACCGGGGTGCACTTGCTCGAACTGCCATCTCTATTGTGTGACAATTTTGGGGCAACGTATGTGCGTAAGAATCCGGTTTTCCATTCAAGAATGAAGCATCTTGCTTTAGACTATTTCTTTTTCCGTGATATGGTAGCTGAAGGGAGTCTATTGGTTCGTCATGTCCCTGCTTATGATCAAGTGGCAGATGTGTTAACTAAGCCTTTGGGACGGGCACTATTTCACCGTTTTAGGTCCAAGATTGGTGTAACTGATGGTTCCTCCATCTTGCGGGGGGCGTATTAAGGGATAATATTTGTATACCTTTTCTTATGTTGATTTAGTCTAGGTAGTTATATTTTATCTCTTAGAATTAGTCTAGAGCTGGTACTGGCATCCCCTATTTATACCTTGTATTATGTGTTTCATCAATAATTGAATACAAGAACTTTCCAGTGATATTTATTACAGAACGTCCGTGTCTCCTTCGCCTTCTTTTCCCTTCATCCATCCCCTCTTCTGCCCAGCCGGAATGTCGACGTCTCTCGCTTCTTTCTGTTCGAGGTCACCCGCGATTCGTCTGAGGTTGTTGGCTCTTCTGTGGCGGAGGATTTCTGGGCTAACGACGACAATGCACAGCGATGGAGATAGACTAGATTTGAAATCAACAAAGAGAGAAACGACGGAGAGAGTATCAGATCTGAAATCGCGGATGGAGAGAGCATTAGATTTGAGGTATAGCAGTCACTTCCTAAGGTCTAATTTTTTATTTTTTATTTTTTAATAATTGTTATTGGATGGATACCAATTGTTGGAGCATTCATTGCTACTCTCTGTAAGGGCCCGGAGATTTTGACAAACTCTGCCTCTTTAAGAACCAACTTTCACCATCTTCATTTACCACAAGTAGACTGGATTATTGGAGGAGCATTCCTGTTAGTTGACTGTCTGGTGTCTTCAGCATTTCTAGTTGTACAGGTATTCTACTTCATGAAAATTGAACATTCTGGAAACGCGGAAACATGATTTTACTGTATTTATTGTTATTTGCCTATACTTGGACTTTAGTGACTAAGTTAAAGTCTTTTTATTTTGTTTCCTTACAAAAAAATCTGCTGTGAAAACTGAAAACTTTGAAAGTGGAATTGAAATTGGATTTTTCTTTAATGCACTCCCACTTTTTGATTGATAATAAGTAAAAATGTATGATCTTCTAGATTCCAATGTTATGGTTGGCAATGCGAGCTAGCTAGGTTAAGCTGATTTTTTTTGGGTGACAAGTGAAACCAGCAGACACTACTAAGTGGTGGTTCATCCTAGTCGGTAAGTGAGCCAAATGAGGTAAACCAACTTAGGTTGCCCATAGCTGACCGGCACAAATCAAGAGGGCTGGGCTTAGAACTTGTGACCTTGTGGTTAAGTTGAAATCTTGATTTGGAAAGTGCATTCATTTACTCATTGATTATGCTCATTCTTAGACCATAACTATCCTCATTCGTGATTCTGGTTTGGATTATTAGCTTGTATTAACCATAATAAAGTTTGGATCTTTCTTGGTTGTATTCTTTCCTTGAATGTGAGTGATTTATGCTAGTCACCGTACTTTTGCAGACTTGTATCACCAGGATGGTGACTATTGTTCCAATTGACTTAAGTCACATATTTCTCTTGCCTCAACAAGCATTGTTAGTCATAACTTGAATCGTTTTATGTATATGGTACTGTGAAAACATATGATTATAATAGTCAGAATTGTTGTATATTATTGTCGCTGTGAATCTTATTTCACAATGCATTTGGCATCATCTTCTTATGGGATATTTTTTATGTCGGAAGGTGTTTGTGATCATCTTCTTAGTGGCAACATTCCTGCTGATCGAACTCGGGAAATTGGCTTTAATCTGTTATTGGTATTCCCTTTACACTCGTACGCCTGTGTGCAAGAATGTTATCTGCTTATTTCCTAATCATTGGAATTTTATGCAGTTTGGTGGGCTCAGTTATAATTGTTTTTGGATGGATATCTTGCTGCAGCCGCTTGGAGTAATTGCAGGCGCGCTTGCTGGCCATGGAGTGGCAACTCTGGTACGTTAAAACAGATTTCGTACCAAATTTTCGTTTGTAGACAGTGATTTAAGAGTTGAAACGCAATTTTTGTTTCTATTTTGTCTTGGATATCCTTTCTCTTTCTCTCGTTATATCGATCTATCCATGCTACATCTTTTAACACGACAATTCGTGCAGCTGGCTGTTCTTGGTGGCTAATTACTAGGGTCATTCTTATCCGAAAAGGTTACCTTCCTATATCTTAAGCATATTTACTTCATGTCAAATCTAGATATTTAAGGTCTCTTGTTTTAGGTTATTGCATACATTGGCGGTACGCTATTCCTAGTATTTGCTGTGGTAACCTTGGTAGAGGTCGTAACCTGAAAAGAGTCGTCGCCCTCTTCGAAATTTGTATTTAGGAGCAGAATTTATGTCCATAGGTTGCTATATATAGAGCTGACAGGAATTATTATGAGTGCCATCAGCTTCCAGGTGATTATTTGTTTCCAATTAGCAGTTTGAAACTGGCCCAAAATTTCATGAGTTCTTAAATATCATTCAAAACTCAGAGACTATGTAGATTTGGAAGTTGTTTATATGACCAAAGATCCATATTTACTACTGTTGTCATACCAAGCAGTTTAGGATATCATTTCTTTGCATATAAGAAGAGAATCTTGAAAAGGCATATTCTTAGACAGTTGTATTCTAAAATTTTTCATAAAATTAATTTTGATTTGCAGTGAAATTAATCCTAATTTTCGCCTTATAATATTTCCAAGGATAATTTTTGCCGTCTGATATCTTTTAATCATATTTGACAGATTTGCGGTAGATGGTAAGTCTTGCAGATGATGGTCCTCACCAATCACACAGAAATGGGAGGGCTTGGTAGGCCGCAAGGTTTAGGTTGGTTGCACCCATTTGGTTAGTATTGGTTTGCACTAAGGCAATGTGGCATTATGGATTAGCTAGTGGTTTGTATAGGCATTATGCCCTTGTGGGGTGACCACTTTTGGGTCACATGTTAAACATTGTTTTGGTGGCAATGAATAACTCCTTAAAAAAAATATTTCTTTATTAAAATTTTCCTTTTGGCTGTAATTTTTTCTTATATATATATATATATATATATATATATATATATATATATATATATATATATATATATTGAATCTGGTGAGGTTACCTTTGGCAGGCAAGGTGGTGAGGCTTGATCTTGTGCGTCTATTTGGGGTTTTGGACGAATGAGATGGATGATGCATTATGGGCACGTGCGTCTCCTTTGTGGGTGTGTGGCAGGGTTTTGTTGTCTTTTTAGTTGTGTCTTTATTAGGTTATGTTAATTTACTTTAATTTATTTGCAGATCTTATGGGCTTGTGCGTTAATAATTATGGTGGTAATTGTCTCTTTCCATTTCAACCGTCTATTCTTCTTCTGTTCGTTTTTTTCTCCCTGACTGGTCATCTTCTTCGTTTCTTCCTTCTTCTCCTAGCGTTTGAAGGCGGTTCGTTCTTGCACATAGGTATAGCGTTCGGCATAGCGGGCTCTTCGAACCGGAGTTCAAAGCGGCTGAGGGTGGCGTCTTCCGACGGCGTTCCAGGTATTGCTTCTGTGTTGTGGTGTTGCTTTTGGTGTGATGGGGTTGCGTCCTTTTGAGGGTGAAGGATGAGAAGAATAGGGGTGATGATAGAAGTGCATAGTAATTTTAGTGCAAATGTTTTACAAATCATTTCAACTTATAATTGCTTAATGGCAAACCCGTCAAATATGGAGGAACCAATCAAGCTCACAAAAATTCATCTGCATATAAAGTCATAAATAAATTCACCCTTGTACTTTCATGAGTTTTGTCTTCATGAACTGTGGCTATTTGTTTCATATATGTGCTTCTTGCAGGTGATGTGAATAGCGTAAGCATCGGAACTGCAACCAATATCCAAGACAACTCTCTTGTTTATGTAGCCAAATCCAATCTAACGGGAAAAGTGTTGCCAACAATTATTGGCAACAACGTTACTGTTGGTATGCGTTATAGGATTTCGGCGTATGCAGACCGTTGTACATACTATTATATGTGTTCACTGCTTTTTAATTTTTGAACTTTGGTAGTGTAAATTAGCCATTTAGATATGTTTGTGTTTTTTTATTATAAAAAAAATGATGCTATGTTGTAATGTTTTAAACAAAATTATGCACTGACGCATGGAAGCCTGATCACATTTATTTTTCTCTTTAATTGATAATTATAATTGTCACAAACTTAAAAAGTTTTATATTAATTTGTCAAATTTTAAGAGTTTTAACATTATTGTTATATAATGTTGGTTATAATTATTGTCACAGCACACGATTTGTGTTGTTTTGGAATATGTGTTTTTTTTCCCTATTGGTTAGTAGTTTAGAACTGTAGTGGTTCTTGTGTGTGCATTTTGATAAAATGGTGTGTGCGTTTGGCTTCATTTATTTGTTACCGTTGTTTCGTTGTTTTCATTTATGGTGTGTGCGTTTGACTTCATTTATTTGTTCCCTATTGGTTACCTTTGTTTCGTTGTTTTCATTGTAGAGAACGATTCTGAGGTGTTTTTATCCTCGCCAGGTGCTAGTTCGTCTATTGTGCAAGGAGGTCAACAAGTTCCCCCCGTTGCGGTTTCGACACCTGTTCAAGTTCACCAACCTTGTGGCGGGGTGCAAATTGGGTCTCCCCCGGTTCCTCCGGTCGCGGTGTCTACTTCTGCTGAGGAACAGGCGCCTTTGGATGGTGTGCGAGTTGGGCCTGGGGGGATGTGGGGGTTGTAATCCCGTCTCTCAATACGTGTGGATCGCCCAAGCATTTGGTGTCTCAGTTTAAACACTTTAGTGCCTGCCAACATACAGAATACATAGTACACCACATGACATCATTAAATCAGCACACTCATTTATCTTCCTTTGGGTTATTCATATGTCTTTTTAAAAACAAAATCTCCAGACAAACATCAAATCATGTACATATGTTACGATACAATAGTTGGAATGCATGTTGTAACTTTCATGAACTTTATTTTCCCTAAATAATATGTGGCAACTACAAGGTCAGTCGTTAATAATTGCTAAGTCGTAACTTTCACAGGCTCACAAACTCAGTTGCACAGCCTGACGTTCTAACTTGCACATGGTAATAAACTAGCATACACAGGTTCACAAAATCAGTTGCACAGCCTGAAGTTCTAACTTGCACATGGTAATAAACCAACATGCACAGGCTGAGAATATAACGCTAATAGCCTTTTTGTGTCTTATTTGCTTAGGCTAAGCAATTCACTCGCAAAGGCTAACCCTCAAACTTGCGCAAGCATCAACCTAACCTGCATATTCTAATACAAAACTCCACCATGTTTTTCCCACCAATGTCTTGTTACCTAACCACATATCATATAAAAACACAATGTCTAATTGCCTATTCAACTTTTTTACCACTCAATTGCACAGCCTAAAGTTCTAACTCGCACATGGATAAAAACTAGCCTTCACAGCTGAGAATATAATGCAAATAGCCTTTTGTGTCTTACTTGCTTAGCCTAAGCCATTCACTCGCAAAGGCTACCTCTCAAACTTGCAGAAGCATCACCCTAACTTGCATATTCTAATACAAAACTCCACCATGTTTTTTCCGCCAATGTCTCGTTACCTAACCACATATCATATCGAAACACAATATCTGATTGCCTATTCAACTTTTTAAAACTCGTGCATTACATACTATACGTAATGTGACTTGTCTTAACCTCCTTCCTCATGCGCTAATTAGACACACTTGAAATTAAATACACACACTTCGGGTTTGCACCGCACAGACTTAACATATTATATGCACAGACATACGAAAAGCCAAAAAATAGTACTAAGACAATCGCACATACCTATAACCGTTTGCACCATCACTGTGGCCTTGAGAAACCACCTTGCATTGAGTTCCTGATTACGGATGCTTTCATTCAACTCTCACAATAGTAATACTAATTTGTTGCAATTAATATATAATTCAATCCCATAATCAATTGATCTTTTGCATGGAATATATTCCAATTTATTTTTAACCATAAATAGCTCTAACATTACAATTACTTATTCACCCTTATGCATAGACTACAACCTTAAATGCATAACAAATCTCTTTCAATCTCATCCATTTATATGTAATGATTTAATGGATGAGATGAGGCCTCATGATCTCATCCATCTAGGTGACCTCATGGGATCCGGAGCCTATATATATATATATATATATATATATATATATATAATATATATATACATATATATATATATATATATATATATATAATATATATATATATATATATACATATATATATATATATATATACATATATATATATATATATATATATATATATATATATATATACATATATATATATATATATATATACATATATATATATATATATACATATATATATATACATATATATATATATATATATATACATATATATATATATATATACATATATATATATATATATATATATATATATATATATATATATATATATATATATATATATATTATTTTTTAAAAAAAAATGATAACTTTCCGAGGCACCCACCTGTAAGTGGGTGTCTCGGAAACAAATTAATAAAATAATAATAAAGGACTATCCGAGACACCTGCAGTGGAGCAGGCGCCTCGGAAAGTCCGTATTAAAAAATTAAAACAAATCATCATCCGCTTTCTGAGTCACCCGTAAAAGTTAACTCGGAAAGCGAAGGACTTTCACAGTCTCCAAGATCCGAGTCACCTGTACAGGTGACTCGGAAAGTGTTTTATAGGAGACTCTAAAACCTTTTTTTGTACTAGTGATTTGACATGAGACGTGTGAGTTTGGCAGATTTAATCTTCGAGATTAAAATCGTGAGAAGACCGTATGGTCTCGTGTTAGGCCAATCTCACTAAGTTGATTGAATCCTTCCAAGGATGATAATCAAGTGGCTTGGACACCGTTAGATACTAACGTACAACTAGCCAATAATTACGAAGATTGTACATCTCACGGATAATACATTCAGATTATTGGTAGTTTAATTATATCAAATGGGTTGTACTAGGTCGGATATTGCCTTTGCGATTAACGAACTCGGTAGACATACGAGTAACCCTAGTGTTACGCACTAGATGGCAATAGTGAGAGTTATGAGATACTTAAGGTATACTCGTGACTTTGGACTGCACTACGTGGGATATCTAGCTGTACTTGGAAAGTATAGCACGGATATCAAAGGACGCTAAGTCCATTAAAGGCTACGTGTTTACGTGGGCCAGTGCAGTTAGTTGTATGGAAATTCTCGAAACAATTTGTGATAGCTAAGATCCATGATGGGATCAAAGCTGAGAGCCTTGCACTCGTGTCGCGAGCGAGTAGGCCGAATGGCTATGCCGTTTTCCCGGGAATGTTCCTAGAGGTAAACTCGCATGTCCAATTTGTGTGCGTTGCGATAGTCAAGCCAAAATTGGTTAAGTACAGAGTTAGATGCGAAATGGTAAATCTAGACACATAAGTCGTAGACATAATACAATTAAACAATTTGTCACAAGAGGGGTTATCTCTATTGACTACGTGAT